ATTGATGAGTTTTTGGGTTGTCAGTTGATTGAAAAACTCCCTCTGGTGCTCAGCCAAGGGGGCTTTCACGAGTGTGGGGCAGATGCTGGTTGTTAGTGAGCCTCAATTAGCACTTCAATGGCCCACAGGGTGGGGTTGGATCTCCGAGGGAGGCGCTGCTGCCTCTCCTCAGAGCCCTGGGAAGGAGCAATGTGGCCACCGTCCTGAGTGGCTGCACTCAGCCAAAGCTCTGAGTGCCCTCCAAACCCCGAGTGTCCCGACAGAGTTCCAGTCCAGTCCGCCCTCCCTCTGCCAGAGCCCAAGGTGAGTGGCTGTGGCTGTTTCAGCCTCTGTCCCGGCTGCGCTGTGGAGCCGCCTGGGAGTGTAACCCAAGGGCGCCACTTACAGCTAAGGCTGCTGCCGAGCTGCCGACCGTGGGCTCCCAGCCCCGTCTTGCGCCTTCGCAAGCCTACCGGGATGGAGTCAGTGTCCCTCGTTGTATGGTCCTCGCAAGCTGCTTTTCTGTTGGTTTTTCCTGTCGATTTGTCTGTGTTATAGTTGTAACTCCAGTTTGGTTCTGGGAGATGGTCTGTGTAGCTCCGTTCACTCCGCCGCCATTTTTCGGTTCCGCTTACTAGACTTAATAAATGAATTTGGCAAAGTAGCAGGATACAAAATAAATGTCAAGAAATCGATGGCATTCTTATACACCAATGATGAACTCACAGAAAGAGAAACTAAGAAAACAATCCCATTTACCATTGCGGCAAAAAAATTAAGATACCTAGGCATAAACTTAACCACAGAAATAAAGGACCTATTCGCAGAAAACTACAGGTCTTTGAAAAAAGAAATAGGGCAAGATGTAAAAAAGTGGAAGCACATACCCTGTTCATGGATTGGGAGAATTAAAATCATTAAAATGCCCATATTACCCAAAGCAATCTATAGATTCAACGCAATCCCCATCAAAATACCAACGGCATACTTCACAGAATTAGAACAATTACTTCAAAAGTTCATATGGAACCAAAAAAGGCCTCGAATAGACACACCAATCTTGAAAAGGAAGAACCAAGTTGGAGGGATCACAATACCAGATTTCAGGTTATACTACAAAGCCACCATAATCAAAACAGCCTGGTACTGGCGCAAGAACAGGTATATAGACCAGTGGAACAGAATAGAGAACCCAGAAATGGACCCAAGGCAATTTGCTCAATTAATATTTGACAAAGGTGGCAAGAGCATACAGTGGAGTAAGGACAGCCTCTTTAATAAATGGTGCTGGGAAAATTGGACAGCTACTTGCTGAAAAATGAAACTAGACCATCACTTACACCCTACACCAAAATAAACTCAAAATGGATAAAAGACTTAAATGTAACTCATGAATCCATAAAAATCCTAGAGGAGACTGTGGGCAACAAAATCTCAGACATCATACGCAGCAGAATTTTTACTGACACATCACCTAAGGCAATAGAAACAAAGGAGAAAATGAACACATGTGACTACATCAAACTCAAAAGCTTCTGCACAGCAAAAGATACAATCATCAAAACGGAAAGGCTACCCACTGTATGGGAGAGCATAATTGCCAATGATATATCAGATAAGGGGTTAATTTCCAACACATATAGAGTGCTCATACAATTCAACAAAAGGAAGACAAAGAATCTAATTAAAAAATGGGCAGAGGAACTGAATAGACACCTCTCCAAACAGGACATACAAATGGCTAAGAGACATATGAAGAAATGTTCATCATCACTAATCATCAGAGAGATGCAAATCAAAACAACAATGAGGTATCACCTCACACCTGTCAGAATGGCCGCCATCAACAAATCATCAAACAACAAGTGTTGGCGAGGGTGTGGAGAAAAGGGGTCTCTGGTACACTGCTGGTGGGAATGCAGACTGGTGCAGCCACTATGGAAAACAATATGGTGTCACCTCAAAAAATTAAAAAATGATCTTCCATTTGACCCAGTGATCCCATTTCTAGGCATATACCCTAAGAAGCATAAAACACCAATAAGAAAGAATATACGTACCCCCATCTTTGTAGCAGCACTATTTACAATTGCTAAAATCTGGAAACAGTCCAAGTGCCCATCAGTAGATGAATGGATCAAAAAGCTGTGGCACATATACACAATGGAGTACTACGCAGCGGTAAGAAAGAAAGATCTCTTATCCTTTGAGACTACATGGAGGGACCTGGAAAGTATCATCCTAAGTGAAACAAGCCAAACAGAGAAAGACAAATTTCATATGATCTCACTGATTTGTGGAATATAATGAACATAACAGTTTGAGGACAATCCCCTAAGGAGTGGGGAGGTGGGAGAGGGATGAACCACAGAACTTATATGCATGTATGCATGAACAGTGGACATGGACAACAATCTGGGGAAGGGGCAGGGAGGGAAGGGGGAGGGGGGAATCAGTGGTGGAAAAAAGGAGAATCATCTGTAACAAAAATTAATCAATAAAAAAAGAAAAATAAAAAAATAAAATAAAATACTAGAAACTAGAAAGATTACAAACACACATACTGTTAACTACAACCACAATTTATTTATTGTACAAGTAACTCTTCCCATTATCTATTAAAATGATAAAATTGTGGAAGATATTTAAACTCTCAAAAAATAAATAAATAAAGGAGAGCAAAAAAAAAAAAAAAGAATGCCATCTATTTCTTGACGTTAATTTGTATCCTACTACTTTACCAAATTCATTTAAGTCTAGTAGATTTTTGATGGAGTCTTCAGGGTTTTCTATGTACTATATCATGTCATCTGCAAATAATGACAGTTTCACTTCCTCCTTTCCAATTTGGATCCCTTTCATTTTTTCTTCTTGTCTAATTGCTGTGGCTAAGACTTCCAATACTATGTTAAATAAGAGTGGCGAAAGTGGACATCCCTGTCTTGTACCAATTCTTAAAGGAAATGTTTTTAGTTTTTCCCATTTAGTGTGATATTGGCTGTAGGTTTTTCATATATGGTCTTTATTATGTTGAGGTGTGATCTCTCTATTCCCACATTGTTGAGCATTTTTATCAGAAATAGGTGCTGGATTTTGTTGAATGCTTTTTCAGTGTCAACTGATATGATCATATGAATTTTATTTTTTATTTTGTTTATGTGGTGTATCACGTTTATTGATTTGCAAATATTGTACCATCCTTGCATTACTGGGATGAATCCCACTTAGTCATGGTGAATAATTTTTTTGATGTATTGCTGGATCTGATTAGCTAATATTTGTTAAGTATTTTGGCATCTGTATTTATCAGGGATATTGGCCTGTAGTTTTCTTTCTTTGTAGTATCTTTATTCTGTTTTGGAATTAGGATTATGCTGGTCTCATAAAATGAGATTGAAAGTCTCCCGTCTTCTTGGATTTTCTAGAATAGTTTGAGAAAAATGGGTATTAGATCTCTGAATGTTCGGTAAAACTCCCCCGTGAAGCCATCTGGGCCTGGGCTTTTGTTTGTTGAGAGTTTCTTATTTACATCTTCAATTTTTGTTGTTGTTGTTATTGGTCTGTTCAAGTTTCTATCTCTTCCAGGTTCAGTTTTGGGAGACTGTGTGTTTCTAGAAATTTATCCATTTCACCTAGATTGTCCAATTGGTTGTCATATAATTGTTCATAATATGTTTCAATGATCCTTTGTATTTCTGTGGTGTCAGTTGTTAATTCTCTTCTTTCATTTCTGATTTTGTTTCTTTGGGTCCTGCCTTTTTGTTTCTTGATGAGTCTGGCTAAAGGTCGATCAATCTTTTTATCTTTTCAAAGAACCAGATTTTTGTTTCATTGATCTTTTGAACTGTTTTTTAAGTCTCTATCTCATTTATTTCTGCTCTGACCTTTACCATTTCTTTCCTTCTACTTGCTCTGGGTATTTCTTTTTGTTTTCTTTCTAGATCTTTAAGTTGTAAGGTTAAAGGGTAAATTAAGAATTTTTCTTGTTTCTTGAGTTAGGCCTGTAGTGCTATGAACTTCCCTCTCAAGACTGCTTTTGCTGCGTCCCATAGATTTTGTGTTGTGTGTTTATTTTTATTGGTTTCCAGGAAGTTTTTAATTTTTTTTTTATCTCGTTGGTAACCCATTCATTGTTTCATAACATGCTATTTATCCTCAATATGTTCAAATGTCTTTGCATGTTCTTGTAGCAATTGGTTTCTAATATCATGCCAGTGTGGTCTGAGATGATACTTAATATTTCAATTTTCTTGAATTTGTAGAGACTTACTTTGTGTCCTAATATGTGGTCTATCTTCAAGAATGTCCTGTGTACACTTGAGAAGAATTTATATTCTGCAGCTTTGGGGTGAAATGTTCTGTAAATATCAATTAAGTCCAACTGATCTAGGTAGTCATTTAAGGCCTCTATGTCCTTGTTAAGTTTTTGTCTGGAAGATCTATCCAGTGGTGTAAGTAGAGTGTTAAAATCACCCACTAAGATTGTATTGCTATTGATCTCTCCCTTGAAGTCCTCCAGAAGTTTTTAATATATTTTGGAGCTCCCATATTTGGTGAATATATGTTTACCAGTGTTATATTCTCTTGTCGGATTGACCCTTTTAATATTATGTAGTGACCTTCTTTCTTCTTTGTCTCTTATTATGGCCCTTATTTTGAAGTTTATCTTGTCAGATATGAGTATTGCTACAATAGCTTTTTTTTCATTTTCGTTTGCTTAGTAAATTTTTTTCTATCCCTTCACTTTCATCCTGTGGGAGTGTTTTGTTGTGAGGTGAGTTTCTTGTAGATAGCATATATATGGGTCATGCTTTTCTATCCAATCAGCTATCATATGTCTTTTGATTGGAGCATTTAAGCCATTTACATTTAAGGTAATTATTAATAGATTGTTATTAGTTGCCATTTTTATTTTATGGCTATGTTCTTCCTCTCTCTCTGTTTTTTGGGTTTTTTTCCTTCTTCTTCTTGCAACAGTCCCTTCAGCATTTCTTGCAGTGCTGGTTTTGTGGTGGTAAATTAAAAATATGAAACACTTCACAAATTTACGTGTAATCCTTGTCAGGGACCATGTTAATCTCTGTATCATTCCAATTTTAGTATATGTGCTTCCAAAGTGAGCACTTAAGGTAATTATTGATAGATAGTTATTAGTTGCCATTTTAATTTTATGATTGTGTTCCTCTCTCTCTCTTTCTCTCTCTGTTTCTTCTTCTTCTTACAACAGTCCCTTCAGCATTTCTTGCAATGCTGGTTTGGTGCTGGTAAATTCCTTTAGCTTTTTTTTATCCATGAAACTTTTTATTTCTCCTTCAATTTTGAATGATAGCCTTGCTGGATAGAGTAGTCTTGAATTCAGGCCCTTGCCTTGCATTACTTTGTACACTTCATGCCACTCTCTTCTGGACTGCATTGTTTCTATTGAGAAATCAGCTGACAGTCTAATAGGAGCAGCTCCCTTGTAGGTAACTTTCTGTCTCTCTCTTGCTTCCTTTAAGATTCTTTCTTTGTCTTTAATGTATGCCATTTTTATTATGATGTGTTTAGATGTGGGTCTCCTGGGGTTCATCTTGCTTGGGACTCTCTGTGTTTCTTGGACTTGTGTGACTTTTTCCTTCACCAGTTTAGGGAAGTTTTCTGTCATTATTTCTTCAAACAGGTTCTCTATTCCTTTCTGTGATTCTTCTCCTTCCAGTATCCCTATAATGCTAATGTTGTTATGTTTTGTATTGTCCCAAAGCTCCCTTAAACTTTCCTCCTGCCTTTTTAAAATTTTCTTTCCATTTGCTGCTCTATTTGAGTGTTTTTCTTAACCTTGTCTTCTAAGTCTGTGATTTGGTCTTCAGCTTCTTCCAATCTACTATTGAACCCTTCTAAGGTATTTTTCATAACTGCTATGTCATTCTTTATTTCCTCTTGATTTTTATGCATAGCTTCTACCTTTTTTAAAAGCTGAAGTAGTTCCAAGTGAGCTCTTCATAATTCTTATTAAGTTGTTTGTAGTACTCACCAAATTGTTTGAGCATCCTTAAAATTATTGCTTTGAATTCTTTATCTGACAAGTTGCTGTCTTCCATTTTCTGCAGTTCCTTTTCTGGTGGTTCCTCTTTTCTTTCCTTTGGGTGTTGTTTCTTTGTCTTCATTTTAGCCGCCTGGTAGCTCTAGACCTGCTGAGGGATGTTTGGATGTGTATGCACCTCACTGTATATCAAATTAGGGTACTGTGTGTCCCAGACTGTTTTATTGTGTGTCATCTCTTGCCTGCTATGTATCCTGGAGGACTGACCACTGGGGGGCTGGTATTGGTATGTCCTGATAGGTGCTGTTGCTGGATCATGTGGGCCCCTCTAGAGCTGGTGCCTGTAGCTGTATAGCTCAGGCCCTGTTGGAGCCATGCTCCCTGCTCGTACAATGGGCAGCTAGATCACACAGTCCCTTTGGAGACCCAGCTCTACCCCTATGTTGTGGGTAACTGTGTTGTGCAGACCTCTCTGGTGCCCCAGCACTCCGCAGGTCCCATGGGCAGCTAGATCACATGGGTCCCTCTCTGGCTCTGGCTTCCCACTGCTCTTGTGGGCTTCTGGATCGCACAGACCTCTGTGGAGCCCCAGGTCCCACCACTGGTGGCTGGGGAGTGCTGCTGCCCCTTGGGGATCAACTCCTGCTCAGCCTGTGCTGTAGTTTTTGGGGATGGGTCTCAGCTATTGGTCTGTGCTTCTGCTGCCTGGGGATGGATTCTGTTCCCAAGCCTCTGTTGCTGGGGGTATATCTCGACTCTGATCAGGCTTCTACTGTGGGGATAGTGCTGGGCTCCCGACCATTTGCAGCTTTCACAACTAGCCCCTTGGCAGCTTTACTACTGTGCATTGGTCTGTGTTGACACAGGGTGTCCACTGGTCCGATGGTGCCAGGTGCACTGGTGGGCTCAGGTTGCTGGGCCCTTGCCACTCCCACTGCCTCCTCCCAGGAAAGACCCAGCATCTTCCAAAATGGTGGGACCTCCCCATGGTGCAGGAAGAAGTGCCCTGAAGAGCTACTTCCCGTGGTAGCTGGCTACTCCCGTTCACAGCACAGGAACCTTCTGCTCCATGTCTCTGTACTGCATGAGTTTGGTCGTCCACCTTTACATCCACTCACACTTTCTCACACACTAGTTTACTCTCTCACCCACTCACGCTCCCTCAGGTCCTACATGCTGCCATCTTTCCAACAAATTTACTTTTTGTCTGTATAGATTTGCCTATTCTGGACATTTCAAATGAATGAAATCAGACAATATGTAGCTTTTGTGTGTGGCTTTATATACTTAGTATAATGTTTCCAAGGTGTATCCATGTTGCAGCATGTATCAATACTTCCTTTTTTTTTTTTCTTTTGTTAATCCTCACCTGAGTATATTTTTCCATTGATTTTTAGATAAAATGGAAGGGAGGGAGAAAGAGAGAGAGATTGATGTGACAGAGACACACCGATTGGTTGCCGCCCGACTGGGGCCAAGAATCAAATCTGAATCTCAGGTTTGTACCCTTGACCGGAAATCAAACTCTACAGTCCACAGGCCGATGATCTAACTGCTGAACCAAACCAGCTAGGACCAGTATTTCCTTTCTATGGGTGCATAATCATCCATTGTATGGACATACAACATGTTTATCCATTCCTAAGTTGATGGACATTTGGGTTGCTTTCACTTTTCCACGGTTATAAATAATGTTACTATGAACATCCATGCCCAAATTTTTATGTGCACTTATGTTTTTATTTCTCTTTGGTATACAACTAAGAGTGGAATTGCTGAGTCATATAGTAACTCTATGTTTAATGTTTTGAAGAAGTGCAAAACTGTTTTTTACAGTAGCTGTGCCATTTTACATTCTCACCAGCAATGTATGAGGGTTTTGATTTTTCCCCATCCTTGCTAACAGTTGTTTTGTTTTGTTTTTTTCTTATTATAGCCATCCCAGTGGGTGGGAAGTGGTATCTTACTATAGTTTTGGTTTGCATTTTTCTAGACTAATGATATTGAAGATCTTTTCTTCTGCTACTTGAATATCTTCTTTGAAGAACATCTACTCAAATCCTTTCTCCTATTAATTCAGTTATTTGTTTTTATTGTTTAGGTTTAAGAGTTCTTTATATATTTTTGGTACAAGTTTCTTATCAGATATAAGATTTTCAAGTATTTTTCCATTCTGTGGATTGTCTTTTTACTCTCTTGATGGTGTACTTTAAAGCACAAAAGTTTTGCCTGGCTGGTGTGGCTCAGTGATTGAGCGTGCAAGGGGTCGCCAGTTTAACTCTTGGTCAGGGCACATGCCCAGGTTGTGAGCCCCATCCCCAGTTGGGGGAATGCAGGAGGCAGCCAATCTATGTTCTCTCTCATCAATGTTTCTATCCCTCTCTCCCTCTCCTTTATTCTCGCTCTAGAAATCAATAAAGAAAAAACTTTAAAAAAATATAAAGCACAGAAGTTTTTAATTTTGATAAAGCTTAGTTTCTTTTGTTGTTTTTTTCTTTTGGTGCCTCTACTAAGAAAGCATTGCTTAAACTAAGGTCATGAATATTTATGTCTGCTTTTTCCTAACAGTTTTATAGTTTTAGCTCTTGCATTTAGGTCTTTGATCCATTAATTGATTTTCCTATGTTGAACCATCCTCACAGTCTGAGATAAATTCTACTTGGTCATGGTGTATAATCCTTTTTGTATGTTACTATATTTAGTTTCTTGGTATTTTTGTTGTTGTTGAAAATTTTTACATCTACATTCATAAAAGATATTGGGTCTGTAATTTTCTCTACTTGTGATGTCTTTGGTTTTGATGTCAGAATAATCCTGGACTCATAGAATGAAATAGGAAATGTTTCCTCCTCTTCTATTTTTTTTAGAAGAGTTTCTCAAGTATTTGTGTTAATTCTTTAAATTTTTTGTAGAATTTATCCACAAAGGTATCTGGATCCAAAATTTCATTTGTGGAATGTTTTTTGATCACTAATTCAATTTTTTTTACTTGTTACATGTCTATTCACATTTTCAGTTTTTTCTTGAGGTAGTTTTGATAGTTTGTATCTTTCTAGGAATTAGTTCATTTCATCCCAGTTATCTAGTTTGTTGGTATATAATTGTTTATAGAATTCCCTTATAATCCTTTTTTTTATTTCTGTAAAGGTAGCAGTGATGTCTCCCTCTTTCATTCATTTTTAGTAAGTTTTTTTCTTTTTTTGGTTAATCTAGCTAAAGGTTTGTAAATTTTGTTGATCTATTCAAAGGGCTCACTTCTGATTTTTAAAAATTTTTCTCTGTTTATTTTTTTTTTACTATTTCACTCCGTTCAATTGTGCAAATTTCATGTCTTATATTTTGGAGCTCTGTTGTTAGCTTTACACACAGGGGTGGGTAAAAGTAGGTTTACAGTTGTTTGTATGTAAAAAGACATACAAGTCATAATTACGAATAATACACCAATAAACTCTGCTTTGCATACTCACAACATTTGCCCACACCTGAATATTTAAAGTTATTATTATATCTTTTTGCTGAATTGATCTTTTATCATTATAAAATGTCTTCTTTGTTGCTAGTAAAAATTTTTGTCGTAAAGAGTATTTTGTCTAATAGTAAAGCCACTCCAGCTCTTTTGGTTACTGTTTGTATATATTTTTCCATCCTTTTAAAACTTTCAAAGTACTGGTGTCCTTGAAACTAATATTTATCTCTTGTAGACACCATAGATTTGAATCAGATTTTCTTAGTCATTCGGCCAATCTCTGCCTTTTGATTAGAGTGTTTCCAGGGAATTGCTAGGAGAAAATTGAATAATGGCAATTCTCTTGGGATGGGGCTCCTGAGGAACTCAAAATTACTTCTGTCCCCAAGAGATGATAGGATGATAGTTTTCACAGGTACTTTTGTTTTGAGACTGGAGTATTTCAAGGCTTCTACTTAACTAGAAAGAGGAAGATATTATGAGGCAAGTTAAGGTATCACAAAGCTCACTATACTTATTGTGATTCCATGCTTTTCCTTAAATAAATATTTTTGGAATTGTTGCAAAATTTTAGTTATTTTCCAACCCAACTTTTCTGAAAAAGTTAATTGAGACAATTTATGTCAGTATTCTCATTAT